GTACAAGGGGGGGGGGCTTAGCAATCTATGGTTGAAGGAAGGGCCATCCCCCTCTCCCTCTCCCTCTCCCTCTGCCTCTCCCTCCCTCTCCCTCTCCCTCTCCCTCTCCCTCCTCCCTCCTCCCTCCTCCCTCCTCCCTCTCCCTCTCCTCCCTCCCTCTCCCTCTCCCTCTCCCTCTGCCTCTCCCTCCCTCTCCCTCTCCCTCTCCCTCTCCCTCTCCCTCTCCCTCCTCCCTCCTCCCTCCTCCCTCTCCCTCTCCTCCCTCCCTCTCCCTCTCCCTCTCCTCCCTCCCTCTCCCTCTCCCTCTCCCTCTCCCTCTCTTTTTTTGTCTCTCTCTCTCTGTCTTCACCATGATCTTCTCTTTTATTTGCAAGTGAAAGCTCTTTATCTTGGACAGTTTGTTAATATCTGCTCTTTCCGATTTTTCTACCTAATCTTCAACCACCCCCCACATCCTAAAGTAGTGTCTAATGGATCTGGCAGTACTAGACAGAGAGAGGGAAGAGCCTCGCCTGTACTGACCTACCTCCCATCTCCCCACTGTTTTCATACTCATGATAGAGAGGCGAGGGGAAGGAAGAGTATGAACCCCACTTCATTCACATTCCAAAGTCGTTCATGTTGCTTACATTCTGGTGTCATGTCTATTTACTGTTGGCATACATATGTTTCACATTACCATCCTGCCCAGGCTCTCTCTAAAGAATATTTAATGGTTTTCATTCAGAATGAACAGGTCATATGATAGCAGGTGAGATCTTACTCTCGGACACAGACCAAATATCACTAATCAATGCCGAGTGATGCGCGCAGAGATGCCAGAGTGAAGAAATGGGAAGCGAGCCATCTCTCTCCTCGTCTCATCACCTATTGTATTCTTCTGTCTTTAGAATGTCTGGTCCTGATTTCTACACTAGTGTAGAAAGACATGTCAATCCTCTACCCCACACACAGCCACTTTCGGTTGGGGGTAAAGGCGTGGAGCACAGAAAGAAAGAAATAGAGCTGGGGTGATAAAGAGGAAATGAGAAACAGAGAGAGGCAAGAAATTCAGAGACTTGCCTTGCTCAGCTTGTCCTTCCTTGAGCTCTTATTCTTAGGCATGTTCCTGTTCTTTATCTTGATCCAACTATAAGACTTCTTCAACAATCCTATGAAAGGAGAAATACCAAGAGCTGAGAACCACAATTCAATATGAGATGCGCTAAGGTAACTAAAAATTGAACTGAATTAGTTTCCGGATTGACCTGACGGTGCAAGTCTGTGTGACGCTGCTTTCATGTAAAAAAGTTTCCCTGCCCCCGAGGGGGGGGGGGGACAGGCATCAGGGATCAAGACGAGGCTCTCCAACAAGTTGTTGCCGCCAGTTGCCTGCTTGGATGAGCGTTGCTTGCCGCAATGCCCCCCCCACCCGCCTTATTGATCGCGCCGGTGGTGTGAACACCTGAATCTTCCGGTGGTGTCAGCATCGCCTTCGAGGTATCTTCACCTTAGCTCAAGTTGTAGGTTGAGGAAGTCGTCCGAACTAAGCAAGCCCGAGGGCAAGTCCGTAAGCCGCTTGCCGGGATAGTGCCAGCAGATCTTCGGCCCAGCTGGGGCATCGAGCTGCACAAAACACGCGGAATCAAGTAGCCATCCCCAGGCCAAATGAGCTATGACAAATGCAAAGCACACGGGGAATCAATTGCAGCCTTGCCCTCGCATTTGAACGAAGTTGGACGTGGATGCGCGGCTCCTCAAATCTGGCAGTTCAAAGTCGGCGTTCAAATCAAACCCCTGGATGCCAGCTGTGCTTTACAAGAACAGCTCCATGCGCTCACGTTGCTCGCTCATATCGCTCGCTCATATCGCTCGCTCATATCGCTCGCTCATATCGCTCAAAGACTCCAATGTCAAAGCTGAAGAATTCATCTGCGCGAGCACGGCTCGGTATGGCATGGAAGTTCTCTGTGGCCCAATCCAGCACAGTCGCAGCACGCGGCATGGCTGATGGACGGGCGTGCTGCAACAAACTTGTGAGGTTGAGGCACGGGGCGCTCTACACTTGGTATGGGTGTTTTGTTGCTGTAAACACTAGCAACAATCTGGCACGCGCCATGACCAAAAGGGTGCCTTACCATCTAAAGCCCTCCTGCGGCCATACAGACACTGTTCTATGGGTAGCGTCGCCATTCGAGGAACTATTCGATGTAAAAAGAAGCCTCCTGACGTCCACAACTTCCTGCAACTGAGGCTGCCGCTTGTAACCCGAGACTTGCGCAAAAATGTTATCCTTCCACACGGACACTTCATTTGACTGCTGTGTGACTCGCAATATCAATGGTTTCTGAAATTCCTGCATCTCAAGTGGCTTAGCAAGACCACTGCAAGGCTTGGGTCGCATACGTGCAAACTGTCAAACCAAGTGATGAGTTCGACTCATTGGAATGTCCAACCTGTGGATCGTAGTGGCACGGGGAGAAGCCTTCTGAACCTCCGCCAGCATGAGAACAAGACGTGCAGAACAATGCAATCTGCAAAGCACCTTCGACAGTGTCCAAAAATTGAAATCTCCCACAGAAGGGTTCGTGTGGGTTGCAGACCGCAGAAAAGCTGGCACATCTGCACTTCCTGCCTTAGCCAACATCAAGCGGATAAATAGACGGCTGCAAATCTTGTGGGCTCTCCAAGATTTGTCTTGCTTGGAATCCCTATCTCACATCCGTCACATGCGGATGGATCGCATCACCCCATGCACTTCTCAGAAGCCCACCCAGTCACCTGCTTCAGCCAGCCCCAGCGAAAGCCTTCAATGTCCTTGGCCACCTGTGCCAATGCCCACACAAGCCAAAATGGACTCGTGAATGCTTCTAGGGCTGTATCAGCAGACCGCAATTTCCAAGCTCGACAAACAGCTAAAAGCCTATGGCTGCCCTGGTCAACCGCAGCACTGCCAATGCAGGGAATGTCGTTCCGGTTTTGCCTTGCATTGGCACTTCCAAATGATCTATCCCCTGCCATCAAGGCAAAATGGGGGCTGGAGACTGTGTCTGCTTCATGAGATCTGGAAACAGCAAACGACCTTTTTGTATCCACAGTCCGCAAAGGAAGGTCGGCGCGACGGCCCTCCAAAGACCTGCGCGGAACTTACCGGATGGCCTTTCGCCTGGCCCAGCATTGACTTGCTTCGTGCTCTCTGTGCTCCCGACGACATCCACCGGCCGTTATATTCCGGCCAGTCGTGAAGCATGAAATTGTGGGTGCCGAACTTCTCCTGACGCATTTGTGATACTGTTTTTGGGAGACAAATGGCTTCCTTTTGGTGTCCCTTTCCCTTACCTTTCAAAACCACAAACAAGGGGTACCCTCAAAAAAAGGCACCGCCCTGCGAATTGTACCACACAGGCAAGGGTGCATTTGGGCGTTGTGCCCAACCTTGAGCGCATGAAACAGGATACTCTGGTCTGCTTGCCCCCGCTCGACCAATAGCGCCTCAGAAGCGATTGCTTCCGGCATCGCCGGCAGAGACACTTTCAGGAGAAGGAAGTCCCGGTTTGACACACTAGTACATCATTTAATCCAGGGCAAGGTGCCACCACGTCACGGTGGTTCGCGCAGGCGGCATAGTAAAGCGGACTTCGGCCATGACCTAACCCACGCGCACTGATGGCGAAAGGCGCGGCCGAAAATGTGGGCGAGTGCTGCAAAGGCTCGATCCAAGACGTCGGGCTCGGCCCGGGCATCTAGTAGCAAGCTGACTGCCTGCAAACAATTGCAGCCGAGAAGGGCCGACTCAATTGAGCAAGCCTCCTGACGCCCATTTGCTGCGGCCAAGTGGAGGGGGGTCCTTGCAACTTCAAGCGGCACGCGCACACGGGCGCGCAACCACACGCACAAGGTGCCAAAACGCAAAGAGCGGCTCTCACCATTAACGAGCAAAGCCGCTCACGCATCAATGGTGAACAGCGCAAAAAAAATCTCACCCATCATCTCCTTTCATCCGCGTCGGCCAAATTCACCTGAACGCGTTCACACGCTACCTGTTTTGTTTCTGGCCTTGACTTGCCCGGCCACGTGTTGGGAGGAACTTGCACGTGGGGAAGGGCGCACGTTCCGGGAGGAAAACCCGCCGACCCTTGCAAAGGGCGAGGTGCACGGGAAGGGCGCTGGTCATAGTCATTCACGTGCGGGGGTCCTCATCATCACCATCAGCAGCATCATGATAAACGTAAAATTTCCGCAAGATGTGTAAGAAGTCTATATCTGCATAGGATGTTTACGTATGCTAACGGGCCATATCAAGTTGTCATCGTTGAGGCGAGGCATCGCTGGACGCAGGGGATGCTACGATGACACTTACGACGACCTAGCGGTCGGAATCATTCGGGGTCCTCATCATCACCATGATCATAGACCTTTTATTTAAAAAGTCTGTAGCCGGCGCGGCTTGCAACGCCGTAGACTGTTGAAGCGCTTAAGTTACTGCAGCGGACTGGCCAGTCGGCTCTCTCTGCCGTGATTGCCGGCGCCGCGTCGCGGCGAGAAGCCTTGAGACCCTCCATGATCTTCAAAATCCCTGCTCCAGTCAAAAGCTGGGTCACCTGTAAGTCGGGCCTCATAAAAACCGCCTTGACATGGCCGCCCGGCCAGGCTTGTTCCAGCTGCTCGGCCTACTGCCAGGCAAGACTCGCGCCTGTGAATTGGCACTTGGCCGGCTCTGTTCCTTCCTTTCACGCACACGTGCTTACAATTCATTCAAGGTCAACACAAACTAGACAGGCGGTAGTTTGCAGTTGCTATCTTGCTATCACTGGCTAACTTGCTAACTTGCTAACTCGCCTTCTCGCTAACTTGCTAACTTACAAACCGCCGTATCCTGACTTACTAACAGCCCTTTGCTCCCGGGCACGCTCCTTCACACGGTCTGATTTAGATTCTTCTGGCCGTGAAATAGGCCATTTTTGACGCGTGCGCCGGCCGCTGCTGTTCATGACGGCGACGATCATCATCATCATCATCATCATCAGCATCATCTTTCTTCTCTTGCTTTTCTTACTTTTCTTGTTGCTAGAGATATGCGTGTCAACACTGGCGTTACACATCGCGCGAGACGCAGAGGATGCTGCGATGGCTATGACGACACGGATGATAACAAGCATCATCTGGCATCGCTATGACGTTAAGCCACTGGGAACGCAGGGATGCTACGATCATAACGAGCGTCATCACCATAGTGTCGCGCCGCTTGGAGCGCAGGGGGTGCTCAATCATTTCTCCTTAGATCTCGGCGCGGCCTTCGCATCCGCTTCCCTGCGCGGGCAAGGTTCCACTCGAATCTCCACCCCTGCGACATCTCTACAGCCACGCGGTCCAGCGCCTCCCCTAAACTCCGCAGCAACATCTCCATCATCGCCGGCTGAACGTAGGTCGCCACCCCGCCAAGCGCAGCTGTAAGCTCCGCCGCGCGCTTTGCCTGCGTTCACTGGTATTCATCGTTGTCATCATCACGATCATCATAATCACCATCCTCGTAGTCATCATCATCTCTTTAGGATTGTTCTCACCATCCTGTTGGTGATAACAATCATCACCATTGTCATCACCATCTCTTTCTTCACTTACTTTTCCAACCCTTCTTATTGTTATACATGAGCTTTGTCCAATAGCCTCCGGGCGCGAGCAAGAGGCATGACGTAGGCACGGAACTTGGGGTCAGGAGCCGAAGCAGGCAAGCGAAAGAACAGCAGTAGCAGACACAAGCGACCACTCACGCTAAAAAAACGGGCTGGCCAGCCCCCAGGCGTTGTTGCGCCATCGTTTTGGGCGCTGGCACGCCGCTACACCTGCGGCGCCTGCGTGGGCTGACAAGAGGCACGAGCGGTAGGAACAGCCAAGAGCAAGAGCAGCAGGACTGGAGAAGTCGCAACAGACAGAGGCAACACGCTGACATGAACGAACAGTGGACCAGCCCCCGCGCAAAGTGAGAACTGTAGGGGCATCACGGACGCGTTCTCTGCGGTGTGTGGGAGCAAGGATCAGAAAGTCGGAGCCGGGGGAATCAGAACATGCCAGAACGCTTTTCGAGAGCCGAAACGCGTGAAAGACAAGTTTCGCAATCCGCAATTCATGTTCTCGCGCTTGTCCATTGCAATGAACAACCGCCGAGTATAAATGCCAGAAAGCTTTTCGAGGTCCGAAGCGTGCGCAAAAACCGAATTTCAATTTTGGGCTGCGGCATTTGTTTTTTCGCGCCTCCTGCAATGTCGACCATCGGAATCAGAAGGGCGCCAAATATGATACCAGAACGCTTTCCGAAACGCGTGAGGATCGCGCAATTCGTTTTTCGCGCTTTTCTACAACGTCTGCCGCGAGAACCCGAACAAACGCCGAAAATGAGGCCAGAACCCGAAATGCGCGAAAATAAAGAGTTTCGCTTTTTCGTGATTCGGAAATTCGCCTCTCCCGCCCTTCTCTACAATGTCTGCATGCCGCAGGAACCAGAACAACCCCCGACTTGGACGCCAGAACGCGCCTGCCGCGGGAACCAGAACACTCGCTGAATGCGACGCCAGAACGCTTTCCTGGGAAAAAGCGCTTATTTACACCAAAAAACACGAACTCCGGGTCGACCTCTCCATGGTTGCTTGCCAGCCACTACTTGGCCCTTTTTGGGTCCACGGTCAAGCTACGAGCTCTAGACCCTTTGAACATGCGGACAGGCCCAGCCCAGTCCGCAACTTGTTCGAGCGACACAGGCAAGTTTCAAAAGAGTGTTTTCTGCCGATTTCTGTGTATTTTGGGTGGCCAAATTTGTGGGATTTGCACAGTTCCATCGAGGCAATTCTTAGATGAACCTTACCTTGTTTGGGGTTGCGGCGCCTCTGCAGCATGTCGTGGAAACTTGCATGTCCCACTCCTATTTTGGAAGGCGCCCGCGCGACAGTCCTTCAGCAAACGCTGGTCGATTTATAAGATCAGGCCAAGTCAGCAGAAAAGAGCTGAGAAACTTGCAACGCGCAGTTTCCGCCAGATTAGGGGCTTCTGCTGATTTTTGCGAAATAAGCAAGAAATAAAAAAACAACAATTTGTTCCTTTTTGAAGGTCCAGGCATTGATTCTCGTGGCAGACATTGTGTAAAAGCGCCAAAACGATTTTCGGATTTCGGATCTCGAATTGCATTCTGGCATAAAACGAATTTAGCGATCCGACATTTCTTTCGCTCGTTTCGGACCTTGCAAAGCGTTTTGGCATCATGTTCGGCGACCCTTCTGATTCCCGCGGCAGCTCTTGTACAAACGCGCGCAAAAAAAACGAATTTCGCGTCGCGCGATTCGGACCTCGAAAAGCGTTCTGGCGTCATTTCGGCGGCTGTTCATTCCCGCGACAGACAGTTGGGGAGTTGTTCTTAAAAAAGTCCTAGGTATGATTCCAGAATCTCGCGATCCCAAGCCGATTTTTTTCCTCGCTTTCTACAATGTCTGCCGCGGGAATCAGAACTGATGATGCCAGATCGCTTTTCGAGGTCCGAAACACGCGAAATTCAATTTTGGATTTTCGGAATGCGAAAGTCGTTTTTTCGTGCTTTTCTACAATATCTGACGCGGGTGCCAAAACAACCGACGCCAGAACGCTGTTCGAGGCCTGAAGCGCGCGAAGGTACCATTTTCAGACAGCGAAATTCGCTTTCCCCACTCTTCTCTTTAAACGCCTGATACGAGAACGCGCGAAGTGCTCTTTGGCAGCTCGAGTTGGCCCGAGGCAATGGGCGGTATGACAATCACAACTGTTAAGTACCATGGGCACACAAGCGGCCGCAGTCCAACAAGCGCAACTTTTCAGCACACGTGTAGCACACGCGCGCAGCTACATCCCGCGATAGCACATACCCTTCCGCGAACCTTCCACGCGCCCTGGGCTCCCGCAGTCTTCGCGCCATAACATCAAGTATGCTTTCGTGTTCTGTCATTACTAAACAAGCTACAGGGTGGTTTTGGTGTATCCTCATACTTGGGACGCAGGGGCGCTATGATGATAGCTACGATGACACGGACGACTGGGTACGCGGCTAACGGGCGCTGCAACAACAGTTTTTCGCTGCCACCCAGCATCGATTTGACGTTCGGCAGTACTGGGGACGCAGACGACGCTACGACGATAGTTACCCTCGCCAACATGGTGGTCATCATCGCGCTGCTGGGGACGCAGGGGGTGCTACGAGAATACTTTTCATCGGCGCCGCTGGGGCTGCTAAGATGGTAGTTAGCACTTGGGGCAACATTAGGCGCCGTGGGTGACGCAGAGGGCGCTATGATGATAGCTACAACGACACGGACGATGACACTCATCATCTGGCATCGCTGTGATCGGCACGCAGGAGCTGCTACGCTGGTAGCTATCATCACCACGATGACCCATCATCATAGCCCCGCGCTGCGGTGATAGTTAATATCGGCGCTGCTGAGGGTGTGTATTCGTGACTATCATCATCACTGCTGGTGATGCGGGGACGCCTGGTCATCTTCATCACGATTGCAATCATCAGGCAGCGTGTGATTCTGCGCTATTATGCACTATCAGCACGCGCCAGGTATTCACGAGGATCACGCTAGCCGGGCATTTGGGCCTGCAAGTGTTAGCATGCGCCAGCTTGCCCTGTTCTGCGTGTCGGGCACGCTGGGCTCTGAAACGGAGCTGGTGACTAATTGCAACCGCCTGAGTCACTTGGCGGGCGAGCTCGCCGGACTGCCTGGGGCAAACTTTCGAAAAATATAGAATCCGCAGTGGTTTTGATTTAGACATTTTTTGCAAATGTCCACTGCGTCACGGGGGGCAACGAGGGGCTTGCGAAACTCCCAACATAAATGCTGCGCGCTCACTAACGCCCAGCTACCAAGAGAGGCTAAAAGACACTAAACTACATAGTTTAGAGCCCGAGGCGCTAATGTATCGCTTTTGTGCTTGCGCCGGTCGAGTAGCAAACTCTTGGGATCTTGCAGATTGCGCCAAAGGGTCGTTATTCGGCGGCTGTGCGTAATGGATGGGCCAGCTGGGTTCCAAAAAATCTCAGCCGAGCCGCGGCGCAATGACAGTTTAGGCCGCAATCGGCTGCGCCGACGCAAGATGACGTCATGCAATTTCCAAGGCCAAACACTTGTCAAGCTGGGTCTATTTCTTTGTAGAGAACGCAGTGTCGAATAGGGCGCGCCGAGTTCAGTTGCATGAGTGCAAAGCTGTGAGCGCAAGCGAGCGACGCAAGTATGCCTTTAAAGCGCGACCTTGGCAGCCAACAAAACGAGAACAGGCAGGAGGGAGGGGGGGGCGAGAGAGGTGGAGGGAGGTTAGTTCGCACACCTGCCCTGATAGCTTGCGCGCCTTGGGATCAACCGACCCAATCCTAAGAAAGAATGGCGCGCGGACATTCCAAAGATTTCTGAAGCAACTCGCCCGCCTATTTGCCGTTAGATTATAACCCGCAAGTGGCGCAGCCTTTTGGGAGCGTTTCGGCACCAGATGCTTTTGTATTTTCAGCAATTGTCCTCAATGCGTTTCCTCTTTTCCCACTATCATCAAGTACTCGCGAAGGCTTAGGTTACTTGATTCTTGGCGCTAACCATCACAACTCTCGCATTGTTTCTTGGATAGCGCCCAGGCCGTCGGCGCTTTTTCTAATCCTTCCACTCTCACTCTGCGAAAAGGCGCAGCTCAAAACAAGGGATTGCTACGCAATTCCCGGTGATTATTCATTTGCTCACGATTGGGCAATCATTCATCTCTAGAAACGGGAACTCACGAAGTTTCAACCCCAAACCCCTCACGGATGCGTGGACAGGTCATAATCGCGTTGAAGCATTTGCGCGAATTCGGGCCGAACGAATGTAAGAGAGTGGAAGGCTTCAAAGGGTTAACTTGGACATGCGAACAAACGTCTTTTACGGGGGCGTGCGCCGTTTTAACACATGGCCGCGAAATGGGTGAAGCCATGGGCGCGAGCAGAAATGGCCGCACAATTCCGCGAATATCCGGAAATCGGCCGCGAAACCCCCGCAGCTGGCCGCGAAAGGTTTTTTTAACAAACGAACATGCGAATTCCAAGGTTCACGAAAGTTCACGCAAGTTCACGCCAAAACACCGTAGTTTAGAGTCTTTTTCACGCAAGTTCACGAAAGTTCACGCGCCCCCCCCCAAAAAAGCCCCCCCCCCCCCCCCCCCCCCCAAAAAAAAGAAGAAGAAAAAAGCACAACAAGCCTAAAAACAAAATCGGGGGGCGCCAGTTCTGAAATTTCATGAGTTCACGCCCAAAATCGGCCAACCACAATTCCAGAGATGGCCTCTGAAACTTGAGAGCTTGAGGCACAAGAGCCACGTGAACTTGACACCAGCAATTTGCGAAGCGCGCCTGGGACGATCGCTGCAAGCCACTGCTGACTAAGGGTGTGCTTGCGGGCATCCCGAAGAAGTGGAAATTGATTTCCAGGAGCACCCCGGCTTTCGGCCAAGGCAACAGTTTACAATTGTGGGCCCGTAGACAATCAAAATGGAACATGTCACGCAGTCCATTCTGGCGGCGCATGCCATTCCAAGAAGCTGACAAGGAAGTTAGACGCTGTCTCATAGCCCATTCACTCAGCTGCTTCTTAGCAAGGCATCACCACCACGCCTCTGCGCCAGAGTCCAGCAGCCTCTCCAGCGCATCCTGGCATTGGCACCTGGATCTGGAACCCCAGCCACGTTTGTTGGCTTGGTTTTGCTTGCTTTGTGCTTTGCTTGTTCGTTGATCGCTTGTTCGCTCGTTCTGCTCGATTGTTGTTCGCTTGGTTTGTTGGTTGGTTTGTTGACTGGTCTTGCGCGCCAACTTCAACGCTGTGGCAAGTCTGACAACGCGAAAGCCCAACACTCTGAAAGTGCAAGTGCTTGGGCCCCCGCTTTGCGCCAACCTGTGCAGGCCAAATAGGATGTCTAAAATTGGGCAGCGCCGCATCAAAGGAATTGACTTGTGGCTCTACTAAGATTCCGTAAGCCGCAGAACGAGCTACTAAAACGGCATGTAGCGATTTGGGGCGCTGCTCAATTAGTCTACGTTCGTCTGCCTAGGCTCAGCAAATCGGAGCTGAAACACAAGCCAAGACCAGACGCTCTCCGGCCCCCTGCCTTGGCTGCTAAGTGCACGCTGCGGCGCCTGTTATTTTGAGATTGCCCACTGAGCCGGCACAGGCCGCAGTCGCAGTCGCTCTCTCGAAAAATATCTCGCGAGTCTCCATGTCCGTCTAGACGCTGGGCTGCACGATCCACACGGCCTTGAAGCGCCCCTTCCTGCGCAGCGCTTCTCTTTGGCAAGCGTGCGAGGACAACTAGCGTTGCCCTGCAAGATGTTGTCAACATGGCCACATTCTAGTATCCATGCTTGGGAACTAACTTCGAATTTCTCGCTCAAGAAACCCTTGTGAGCGGCCTCTGTCTCCTCGCTCGCAACAGGCTTGCTTGCAGCTCTTTGCCCCGTTGTTCTTGCAACTGCGTTTAGCATTGCCTGACAACAGTTGCGCATGTCTCACAGGGTAGAGACTGAAGCCAAAGAAGGGTTCGTTCGAAAGGACAATCTGGAATGCGTCACAAAGGGTGTACCAAGGATATACCGGTGTACCAAAGTCAGCCGCGGTCCAAGCGTGACCTTCCACTCCTTTCCAGTCGCCCAATCGCCCAGTCCTTTGCAATAATTTTCCTGTCGCCCTCAACCTCATCACCGCGGCCCAAGTTGTACAGCGCCACAGCCCGGCGGTACCTGCCCACAACCGCGTCGGTCTAGCCTTCTTGGGTTTGAGCTGGCAGAAAGAGCAACACAACAGGCTGGCAAGGGCAAATTTGCACATAACATTGTCTTTCAAACCAAGAATGCGTCACTTCAGACTGCCCTCCCTTGCGGGCCGTGCCAAAAAGCCAAGCAACAAGACAGCCAACCCGCCCGCCAAAGCCAAACCAAGTGGCAAGGCTTGACGGTCGCACGTGAAGACATGCCAAGGGTGAGCGTCAAGGTGACAACAGTCCTAGCACTGCTTAGACGGGCAAGGAATGGGATCCTCCCCGACACTGCCAAGTAGCATAGAGTGTGGGCACGAGCGCCAAGCCCTTCTCGCACGATGAGCCACACGCGGTCGCCCCGCCGCACACGCACGCAAGTTCAACTGGTTTTATTCGCTGGACTACGTGCGCGGCTCCAAGTTTCAGTTGAGAACCACACGCACCTTCGATCCCAGAGGCCCTCCGAAAGCGGAGCCGAGAATCTAACTGGCAGTTTGGCGCGAGCCTCCCTCAAGCTGACACCGCACGCCGGACGCCCAAAGGCGCGACCCCCTTAAGGGCAGATCTGCCTGGCACACGGCCAGGATGCTTGCCCAAAGGCCGCAGCACCACCTCATGCGTGTTGTGCATTTCATGCATTTTATACTTTTATGCCTCTTATGCATTTTGTACGGCTTTCCAACAGGAATCTGTCTAGTGCTACGACCGGGGGACTCACGCGAGTTCACAGCCCCAGCTCAGTGTGTTTGCGTGCGCGATGCCAGCCGCAAGTCGCCAAAAAGGGCTCGCCGGTTTTTGCTTCAGCAGTTGGAGCTTGAAACAACCAAACGCTCGTGGAATGCTTCGACTCATTTCATGCAGTTGCAGCAGAACGCGACTCATATCCCATTTGTAGCTTCCGTCACTCAAAATGTCCTGACGTCTCCAAATCCCCTGTCTCTGCCCTCTCTGCCTCTCCCGTGCCTGGATTTAGGGTTGCCGGGCTCAAGGCGAAGACTCTCCTCTGCGTGGCTCAGAGCCTCTTCAAAGTTCTGTCGGCGCGCTGCCAGCAGGCTCAGATTGCGGCGCAGCGCGCCCTCCACCGCGCACCTGAGAGAGGGACAGGGCAGGCCTTTCACCTGTAAGCGAACGGGCTAGCTTGACAAGCGTTCAAAACCAGAGCAAGCACAGGCCTTCATTCTTTGAACAGGGCAGAGCAGGTTAAGGAAGGGCGCGGCGCTGGCTGGAATCCGCCGAGCCCCCGCCCCGTACTTTAGATTATTATATGCCTATTCTTACATCACAACATATCTTTCTTTTTTAATATAGTCTTATAGTTTATCTTGGCCAAAACGATAGTTGTTATCGTCATCATCATCACCATCAGCACGATCCTCATCTCTTTTGCTGCTATGATAACGGCGCTACGATGATAGTTCTGAACTCACGCTGGTGATGAAAAGGCTGCTACGATAACAGTTTTAACGGCGCTATGATGATAGTTCTGAACATCATGCTGGTGATGAAAAGGATGCTATGACAATATCATCATGACAACAGTTACGGGCTGATGGTGTTGCAAAGGGTGCTATGATGATAGCTATCACCATCATGACCATAGTTGATGTGATGATAGCTATCATCATTATGACGATATTTGTCAGCATCATGATCATGATGCACCGATGGTGATGTTAAGGATGCGATGATGACAGTTATCATCATCATGATGGCTGCGCAAAGCATAATATGACTGTTTCCATCATCATGGTGGTCACCATCAACTCATGACCACCATAGTTCTCATCAAAGGAAGTTTAGCAAGAAAACCTGAGGCGCAGATTTCGTGGCAGGCGCAGCATTTTGTGCCCGTGCCAGGTCAAGTACAGATTTCGTGGCAGGCGCAGCACTTTCGCAAGGTCAAGCATAGATTTCGTGGCAGGCGCAACACTTTCGCAAGGTCAAGTACAGACTTCGTGGCAGGCGCAGCACTTTCGCAAGGTCAAGTATAGGTTTCGTGGCAGGCGCAGCACTTTCTTTCGCAAGGTCAAGTATACTTTTCGTGGCAGGCGCAACACTTTCGCAAGGCCCAGTACAGATTTCGTGGCAGGCGCAGCACTTTCGCAAGGTCAGGCGCAGATAGATAGATAGATAGATAGATAGATAGGTAGATAGACAGATAGATCAAATTGAAAGAGAAAGAGAAAGACAGAGAGATTTTGAAAGAAAGAAAGAACGAAAGAAATCAAGAAAGACAGAAACGAAGAAATAAAGAAAAAAGAAAGAAATCATGAAAAACTGAAGAAAGAAAGAAAGAAAGAAAGAAAGAAAGAAAGAAAGAAAGAAAGAAATCAAGAACGAAATAAAGAAAGAAAGAAATACAAGAAAGAAAGAAAGAAAGAACGCAATAAAGAAAGAAAGAAATATAGAAAGAAGCTTTAGAAACTTCTGTTCTCTTTATACTTGTTCTTATAACTGTATATATTATTAAACTATATAACATAACTATATGCAAATTTTCTGGTATTTACACTTCAGATTAGCTATTCTCAAGGGTGCTCTGATATGCAAACAACAGCCAAAAATAGGTGCGGCGCATGGTGCGGTGGCATGGTACGCCTGATGGTGCGAGGCGCAGCGCGGGGTGCGGGGATATGGCACGCCTTGTGGCGCAAGGTGCGGCGTGGGGGCGTGGAAATGTGGTACGCCTTCTGGCGCCGCGCGCCGCACCCTGTATCTGTACCAAACTATCGGCTGAAATTCCAGAATTAGGGGCAGATTGCGCCGCTGATTCTGGAATTTCAGCCGCTAATTCGGCACGGGCACCCGCGCCGCGCGGCGTACCCTGTACCCGTACAGAATTATCGGCTGAAATTCCAGAATTCGCGGCAGATTGCGCCGCTGATTCTGGAATTTCAGCCGCTAATTCGGCACGGGCACCCGCGCCGCGCGGCGTACCCTGTACCCGTACAGAATTAGCGGCAGAAATTCCAGAATTAGCGGCAGATTGCGCCGCTGATTCTGGAATTTCAGCCGCTAATTCGACACGGGCACCCGCGCCGCGCGGCGTACCCTGCACCCGTACAGAATTAGCGGCAGAAATTCCCCAAATTAGCGGCAGAATCTGCCGCTAATTCTGGACCTTCAGCCGTCTGCACACCGAGCTAAACGCCGCACCGCGCGCCGCACCCTGCCACGCAACTACGCTCGCACCCGCACCGCGCACCGGGCCGCACACCGCACCCAAATCTCGCACCTGCGCCGAGCCGCGCTCGCACCTCGACATGTGCCCCCTTGTGGGGCCTCGTCAGAAACACTGCGTTTCACATCTCTTGAAACTACCTAAAATTCAGAACACACGTTAGACATTGATGGATACGCTACGGGCGCTATGATGTTCGTCGCGATCATCATCTCTTCTATTCTGATACTTTCTGGCATATACACTGCAAACTGACGTTTGACAGCGATGGATGATAGTTAACATCATCACGATGGTATTGCGAAGGGCGCTATGATGATAGGTTTCATCGTCCTGATGGTCACGCAAAGGATGCTAGGGTGATAGTTGTCATCACCATGGTGGTGTTCATCATCCCTCACGATCATCATCTCTGGACTGATGATAATGCTAAGGGTGCGACGATGGTAGTTGTCATGATCTTGATCATGATGGTAATGCAGAGCGTGCCATGACGATGGTTGTCATTGTTGTAACGATAGTTATCATTCTCATGACAGGCTGCTGGTAAGGCTAGGCTGCTACAAAGAACGCTACGCTGATGGGTATTATCATCATGGTGGTCTTCGACGCTAGACACTGATGGTAATGTTGAGGATGCTATGATGACAGTTATCATCATCACGATGGTAATGCCAAGGATGCGAGGATGATAGCCTTCATCATCTGACGGTGCTGCGAAGGATGCTATGATGACAGTTATCATCATCATGGTGGTCTTCAAGCGAAACATTGATGGTAATGGTGAGGCTGCTATGATAACTGTTATCATCACGAAGGTAGCGCGAAGGGTGCGAGGATGGTTGTTGTCATCATCCTGGCGGTAACACAAAGGGTTCTATGACGACAGTTATCATCATCATGGTGGTGATCATCAGCTCTAATGATCAGTACTTCTTGACTGATGGTCGCGCTAAGAATGCTATGTTCATGATGGCACTGCAACGGCTGCTGCGACGATAGTTATCGTCGTCATGATGGTGTCATGTCCCTCATCCCTTGGCTTTCTGCCTCTTTTTTACGTTTCAGAACTGACGTTTGGCATTGATGGTCATGCTAAGGATGCTATGATGACTACTGCCATCATCACGAAGAAGGATGCGAGGATGGTAGTTGTCATCATCCTGGCGGTAACGCAAACATTGCCACAATGACAGTTATCATCATCATGGTGGTGATCATCAGCTCTGATGGTCAGTGCTTCTTGACTGATGATCGCTCTAAGAATGCTATGGTTATGGATGGCACTGCAAAGGCTGCTATGATGACAGTTACCGTCGTCATGGTGTCATGACCCTTGCTCCTTGGCTTTCTGCCTCTTATTCTTACGTTTCAGAACTGACGTTTGGCATCGTAGCGCACTTTGCGTTACCATCACGATCGTGACAGCAGTCATCATAGCACGCTTGGCATTACCAGCAGTCCGTCATAAGAGATGGTGGCCGCGACACGATCATGATGATGACCATCGCAGCGTCCTGTGCGTTACCATCATGATCGTAATAGGTGTCATCGTAGCACCCTTGGCAACACCAGCGCTCCACCATCATGCTTGTGAGAACTATCATCCTCGCATCCAGTCCTTTGCATTCCTAGCAGGATGATGATATCTATCATCCGCATATCCTTTGCGCGACCACCGTGATGATGATAACTATCATCATAGCATCCTTAGCAATACCATCAGTGTCTAGCGTCAAATGACCACCATGATGATGACAGCTATCATTAGGGCATCCTTTGCAGCACCGCCAGACGATGAAAACTATCTCAATAGCAAGCTTTGGCATCACCATCGTAACGATGCTAAGTATCCTTGTAGCATCCTTAGCGTTACCATCCAGGCCTAACGCCCCTTCTGAAACGTACAGACGCTCAACACAAGAACACCAAGAGATGATGACCATTGTGACCATGGGAACTATCACCACAGCACCCTTAACACTACCCGCGGTCCATCATAATGATCATGATATATCACCAATGCATCCTTAGCATTGCCGCCCGTCAAAAAGTACTGATCATGAGAGCTGATGATGACCACCATGATGGTGATAACTGTCATCGTAGCATCCTTTGCACTACCATCAGGATGATGGTAACTGTCAGCCTCGCATCCTTTGGAATACCATCCTGAGGATACCTAGCATCGTAGCATCCTTAACAGTACCACCAATGTCTAGCGCCGAAGACCACCATAGTGATAATAAACTATCATCATAGCATCCTTTGCAGCACCATGAGATGATGATAACTATCATCATAGCATCCGTTTTCAAAACCATCGTAAGGATGAAAACTATTATTGTAGCATCCTTAGCACCACCATCATTTTCTAACCTCAGTTCTCAAACATATATGTACTTCACGCACGCAAGCCAAGAGATGCTGATCATGACACCATCATGACGATGACACTGTCATCATAGCATCCTTTGCGCTACCACCATGATCATGACACCTATCATCATAACACACTTAGCATTACCAGCAGTCCGCCATACAAGAAGACCACTATCATCGTAGCATCCTTTGCGTTATAGCCACCATCATAGCACCCTTAGCATTGCCATCAATGCCTAACGTCAGTTCTAAGAAGTATAATTAAGAACAAGAAAACCAAGACATGATGCCCATGACACCATCATGACGATGATAGTTGTCATCATAGCCTCCTTAGCATTACCATCGCAAACATGATCACTATCATCATAGCTCCCTCAGCAGTACCAGCAGTCCGTCGCACAAGATGACCAAGATACGACGGTCGCGAGACCATCATGATGATGATGATAACTATCATCATGGCACTCTTTGCATTACCACCATGATCATGATAGGTGTCATCGTAGCATCCTTAGCAGCACCA